TCTCTTCTACTACCGTAAGTGTTACACCAAATTTTTAGTTTTCTAACCTAACCTTTATTTTTCCTATGTTAACCTTTATCTTTCCTAACCTAACCTCTTCTATATTACTTGTTTTTTCATACCATCATAAAGTTAAGATAAAATTTTTACTACAACATAGTTGTGTGTCGTCAAAAAGTGGAGTTTGGGGATCGGCCTGGACTCCATTTCAATTAATCCCATATGTTATGTTATTCACTTTACGCATTTCTCGCTTTCCGCGGTACCCTCCGGGTTACATTAACCGCGTAAAGTGAGGGTTAACTGTACATAACTAACGATTAATGGGCTAGGAGGGGGGTTGGAGGGATTGAGACACATTTGGGCACCCTGCTTCTCCCTGGCCTGACTTCGACCTTTTCCTTGTTAGTCGAATATTGTAATTCACTGTAAATATCATTGTAGGGCAGATAAGCATTAACTTCAAACAAGCAACAGTAAAGAATAAATTTCTAATAAGACTTTAAAATCACCTTTTGTAGAGAACTATTTGTCATAGTACATTCTGAAAAATCCAGTTTTTCACAAGAGCACATATAGTCTATGTACAGTTGCTGGAAGTCTTTGGACACTCCTTGCAAGTGACACAGATCTGCGACTTTCAGCAGAGGGAATATATGGCGGAAAATAACGTCATCCCACGGAAGGTCGCTCAGCTGGAGTGGCTCCTTATATGACATACTTTCTGTAAGAAAAAGTAAGTTACCGTACATATATAGATACAGTAAAGTATCTATCAACCAAATACTGTAATTTGAGACCTAGACGGTTCCATGGACAATTACATAAAGTTGATACTAACATGAACAAGAGTCCAAGGAAAGCATGTAATAAACCATGGTACTTGACACTTGCATCAGTTTGGTTACATAATTAGTTTCTGCAAATACTTCTTCATTCTTTAACACACTTAATATTATTAAGTCCTAAATAAGTTTTCAATGTGTCATCATTCTCCTACAATCACTATAAAGGTACAGGGTACAACTTTCTCCTCAACTCACACCATCACACACACTGTCACTCAATATAAACCTAAACACAGTAAGCTTGGCTGTAAAATACAGTAAGTACATATATTTTTTATGTTGGCAGGTCACAACCCTATTCTTCCCATTTATTAAATTATTTGGTATCCAAATATTCAATAACTAAAAGGCTTTCAAAAACCTAACCCCATTTGGCTAGCAAGGGATACCTGTTACATCTTCAGGGGATGAAGACATTACGTATATGAGGTTAACAGCTCAGTATTGCACATTATTAACACTGAGCTTTGAACATTGCATACTGTACTGGACTCGTGGAAGGAGGCTATGAGAAGTACAATACTGTACAGATCTGCCTGACCAAGTTCACCACATTCTTCAACCGTTTATCACCTGTCTTGTTCTCGCAATGGACATAATGTGTTTTTTACTTTCCAGCTGCTTGGCTACGCCACCGTCGCGGGTGGATAAGAAAAATTAACATTGAGAGAGCTATCCTCCTCTTGTCTCAGAATTTTTGCAAACACCCTTCCCATGTCTCTCTCAAGCCATGATAATGGATGTTATGCGAGAACAAGACAGGTGATAAACAGTTGAGGAATATGGTGAACTTGGTAAGGCAGATCTGTACTGTACTTCTCAGAGCAGCCTTCCACAAAGGAAAAAGGAAACACTGGAGCACCTTAGGTTTTGTCTTTATTCAAGACATCTTCAGAGGCAACTGAATTTACAGGGACTGAGAGAGGCTTATATACAAAGGGTGACCCCTCGTTTAATGAACTCAATCCGTTCCAGAAGGTCGTTCGTTAACCGAAAAGTTCGTTAACCGAAACCATTGTTTCAATGGGTTTTTGGTAATTGGTTCCAGCTCACCGAAAATTTCCTAAATTCAACAAAAATGGTAGAAAAGTTCACTTACTTTGAGGTGAGTATGTAGAAGGCTCCTGGATAATGATGATGGGAATTAGAATGGTGGAAGAGAAGAAGGGAGAAGAGAAGGCATTGGGGTGGAAGAGAAATGCCTGGGGTGGAAGAGAAGTCACCCCATGGTGCAATTTCACCCATAAAATTTTAGTTCTCTTGGTGTAATTCTAGATTATTTTCTTTAAATCAACACTGCATTGCATTATATATTGTCAATATGTAAAATAAATTTCAATATGACCAATAATTTGCTTGGAAACAGAAAAAAAGCATTTAGTTGAAGAGAGTTTCAAGGAAGATGTTACCTCCAGTGAAAACAGAGAGAGACTAACGCCTGTTTGCTGTGTTAAGAGGCTGGATGCCGCGCATTAAACTAGTCACTTTACCTTCAATTATGTTCAATAATTGTTAAAATTATTAAAAAATTGAATGTTAAACTTTTAAAATTATTGAATAGTATAAACTTCTTGATATTTACTAAAATAGTAAGGAATTTAAGCCCTAGAACCGATTAATGAATTGGCGGACTGATACTAAAGCTGGTTGCCCGGTCAGTGCAAGCGAAAACATGTTGAGGTCGGTTCGTAAGAAATTCGTTAACCAAATTTTTTGTTCGTTAACCGAATTGAAGATCCTTATGGAAGGCAGTTCGTTAACCGAAATTTCGTTAACCGAGGCGTTCGTTAAACGAGGGGTCACTGTATATATATATATATATATATATATCTTGATAAAATCACACGGGAAAAGGGATACAACTTTCCAGTGTAGCATTCTCAGAGGCCCCATACTCAGTGAACTTTTTGTATATACAGTAATGCACATGTACAAAGTTTAGATTTTTTTTTCAACATTCAGCCGTTCTCGGAAGTCCCCTCCATCTCTAGCTTCGCTTGCATTTTATAAAGACGTATGTTGTCACCAAGATTTTTTTTTATCTAAGAACAGGGTAAAGATGGAGAACAAGGTTTAGTATGCAAAGGACTTTATAGAATCCTTGTTAATATAGATTGAATGCTTGAAGCACAAATGAGAAATATGGTATCACAATTTTATTAACTGACTGAATGTTGCATCATTGTTGGACCTTGTAATAGGAGTAACTGGTATGTACAGTATATACTGTATAGCCTTTAGGGGAAATGTGAGAATGGGGGTATTTGCAGACTGTGTTAGCAACATTCCCAGAATTCCCCCAATTTTTGTGCATGCGCATTATATAGAAGGGGCCCTCTGCGAGCGCTACACCAGCTGCTTGGCAGTGCCACTTTGGGGGGTAAATGTGTTCACTCATTGGAGTGAGCTATCTTCTAGTTTCGGAATCCTTGGTGTTATCCAGTGTGACTACTAAACATGACTGGTTTTCTCTTTTACTAACACTGGACAATAGAGTTCATGGTTAATATTTAAAAGTTACCAACACCTAATTACAGTATATATTGAATCTTATACAGTTAACCCTTACTTTACACGGTTAATGTAACCCGGAGGGTCCCGCGTAAAGTGGGAAACGCGTAAAGTGAATAACATAACATATGGGATTAATTGAAATGGAGTCCGGGCCGATCCCCAAACTCCACTTTTTGACGACACACAACTATGTTGTAGTAAAAATATTATCTTAACTTTATGATGGTATGCACACACAATTAATAATTAAGAGAAATATCAATAATATTAGGTTTTTTTAACACTTACATTAGTAGAAAAAATGGCTGGGCACACGGGGATGGGCGGTTGGTTCCGAGGCAGAGGGCAGATTATTGGCCCTCACCTGTGTCACTTGTATCAATTGTATCACTATCCACCACAGAGGCTTGCAGGGCCTCTTTGTCAAACTCCCCAAAGTCCATATAAGTCCATATCCTCACCATAATTATCACTATCACTGACTTGGGCCGGCTGTGGTGGGTGGCGGGTGAAGAACTGGTAATGTTTTGATGACTGGGCGACCTTGTGCGCACCATGTTCGCGCCACTTACACAACATGGCGGATGGCGGTAGGTTTGGATCCAAAAATGGCGCGGCTCGCCAGCCGCTCTCCGCGTAAAGGGGTACACGCACCGCGGAATGTGAGCATCCTGGGTTCCGGCAGGGCACCGCGTAAACGTGGAAACGCAGAATGTGGGACCGCGTAAAGTGAGGGTTAACTGTATAGGAAAAGAGAAAAAACTATAATTAATTTATTCTATATGTTTGTCAATTTCGAGTATTTTAACCTATAAAATTATCCACAATATTAGTTGTTCAAAGTGTGCAGGGCTTTGAAGTAGATGGAAAAGAACACCAAACAAACCTTTAAAAAATTAAAACCTTACCTAGTGTTTCCTAAATTGTAAATATTTTAAAAATCACTTTAGAGTTTATGGATCCATTCTCATCTGAACACATAATAAAAACAGACATCATTGCCTACTAAACAACGAAAACATTTATAAGGCAATTTTTTATAGTTTTAGGGTTTATAAGGGTTGGGAAATGTTAGGTCAGGATTTAAAAAATTTGTTTAGAGTTTTTTTTAGTGTTTTACCCAATATTTTCCTTCTACTTCAAAGCCCTGCCCACTTTAAACAAGTAATATTTTTTGTAATTTATTGGTTAAAATACTTGAAAAATATACATTTTTGACGGAGACACTATAGAATAAATTATTTTTAGTTTTTTCTTTCTCCCTATATAAGTAGGTGTTGACAACTTCTAAATATTTACCGAGATCATAACATATCAATAAAAACCAACCAACCGCTGAACGTATATTAAGCTAACAAGCTGACGACTAAATTATTAGGTCTTATAAAGAAGGTCACTCGGATATCTAGACAGTTCGTCCCTCATAACGATCTTCAAGATAAAGGTGCTTCCCCGCTTAGGGACTGTCAGTCGAATGAAAATGTCCAAAGGAGGCCCACACCTCTTTCGTTATTTCTAGGAATCTTTGTAGGGCCAAACGGAATTTTGTAAAAAGAAAGACCGCTGTCCTGATTAATTCTTCCTCTCGTAAATCCTTCTGGTCCTCAACCAAAAACATCTGTAATAACTTCTGTACTCCTTTTCCTCCTCTCTTCTGACCTGATAACTCTATAGTCAACTCTCCCCCAGACAAAGCCAATCTCTTTGGCACCTTGTTCTCTTCTAAATTCACCTTAGATGATTCCTACTCTATCCCTCCTACCCATGCTCCTCCTACTGAACCTATGCACTTTCCTATAATCTCCACTCGCAGGGTTGCCGGTGTGTTATCCAAGTTGGATGTGAGTAAGGCACATGGACCGGACAGGATACCCCCTCGTGTTCTGAGGGAGTGTGCTGAAGCTTTGGCCCTTGTGCTTGCTCGCCTCTTTTGCCTCTGCCTCAAAACCCAAACTTTTCCTTCTTCTTGAAAGCATGCCTTGGTTCAGCCCATCCCAAAGAAGATGCAACCATTTTAAAGCGCTGTATTACATTTCACTATTTCACTGCACTTTCCTACAAGATTTACATCTTCTTTTGTAATCATAGATAAGGCTAAAATTCATGGTATATATGCAAATAGGTATGGATTATCTCTTGAATAGGGTGCAAGTAATCTTGGGTACAACTTGTTTCGTGAGTTGAGTACGAATTATCTTAGGTATGAGTTGGCGTAGATACGAGTTAACTTTTTTGGATACGATTTATCTTGGGTACGAGATGACCCTAACCCCTGGAGCTGGCAGACGTCCGCCCCACAAGGGGTCACAGCACAAAGTTGAAGAAGCCACAAGTCCAGAAAGCGGTGAACTCTTGGAACAATCTGCCAGAGAGTGTTGTAATGAAACAGTGCGAGCTCTTTAAAGACCCAGACTTTACCAGCACTGGGGCAGGTTCAGATACATTCAGGAGCCAGTGCATGCCCAGTACTTGCCAACAGTGCATAACAGAGACGTGACCGACCGCCCAAGCAGCTAACTAGCCGACCAGTGGCGACTGGCGAAGAGGATAAAAGTAGAAGTAAAAAGCAGATAACCACACAGACACTCACAGCATCACCAGTGGACTGCCTTTATGTAAACACTAGGCAGTGTTAAAAAAGTTCCACGACCAAAAGTCTCATAATTTATTGTTCAAATGATGTGAATCAATAAAACTTGAAATAACCTTCAGTAGTTTATATTTCGCTAAATATTATAGATTAATGTTATCACAACTTTATTCGAGAAATCTTTTTAATATTACCCGACTTGTCAATTGAAATCCTTAACAACAGTAAGAGTTGCCAAAGGGTAAATATGAGTCGTATTTCCCATCAGATTTTCATTGGTCGCCATGGTCTTAGTTACTGGTGGATCCAGTAAGCCTTGACATGAGGTGATGTAGTTTATGATACTCTGCCGCTGCCATAGGTTGGCTACAGTTAGTTAGACCAATTTTCACCCTTGTGACCTGATTTAGGCAGGCTGATCAATGGATAGTTATTTTTCGTATTCGCGATGATCTTTCAACTTCAAGCACTTAATAATTCTTAGTTCCCCTGATTTTCATGTTTCAGTATTAAAACTTCCAACTCTCCTCTCCTTCACTCATGTTTTCATCCCTTTTTATGTCTATCTACGTTAGCTCTTACCATTTCTTTCTTTTCCAAATGAAAATAACTTGATTCCGGAATTCCATTACATTCATATATCTAGAAAAATGACAAGACAGGTACATTCAGGAGCCGGTGCGTGCCCAGTACTTGCCAACAGTGCGTAACAGAGACGTGACCGATCGCCCGGGCGGCTAATGAGCCGATCTTTTGGTGAAGAGGATAAAAGAAAATATTGGACTACAGTTTAAAAGACAAAGTATAAACCGCGATTGGCATTGTGGGGTTATGAGATATTGGTTCACACTCAGGATGGGATGAAGAAAGGAAACTCACAATGTGCTCTCTGCATACATATTGTATTGGATGTACAATGCAGCTTGGTGCTGGGGGGTGGCAGCGTGGTTACAAGCGTGATGTAGAGAGAACTGGTTGGTGAGGGTGCTCAGAGGACAGGCAGCTTGTAGGGCGGCATGGGCGCCAGCGGGAGCGAGGGCCACCAGGCAGGAGCACAGGAGGATGTGTTGCTTGCGGGTGGCTTTAGGTAGAAAGAGAGGCAGGTTACCACTACAGCATCTTTTTTTTGGTATTGAAAAACATAATTTACCACTCTGAAATAAAATTTATGACGACCGAGACAAAAACCCAATCTTTGGGGTTATATAGAGTTACATTTACCAAATCAAGTAGAGAGAACAAGGGGTTTGACGGCACCCATGACGTGCCGTCCTTAATAATGAACTCAAGGATCAGGCGCACTGCACACAGCCTTTTCCCACCTTCCCTCTCCCCTTTTAAAGTTTAATGGGAGACTGCGTTCGGACAATTCACTGACTTCTCAAACACCAAAGATAAAGCTCCTGATTAGCTGCACGTGCATCACCAAGTGGGAGGGGAGGGGTACTGTAGGGGAGTTATCCACTGTAGTGGATATCTCCCCTACAGTACGAACAAACCTAGACCCACCCCCTCACAGTTAAAGTGGGACAAACGCCACCATTTTTTTAAATTAATGTTTTTCAATATTCCTATCGAGGTACACTCAATTGAATAATGCAGCTTGGTGCTGGGAAGTGGCAGCGTGGTTACAAGCGTGATGTAGAGAGAGCTGTTTGGTGAGGGTGCTCAGAGGAGGACAGCTTGTGGGTCGCCATGCTCGCCGGCGGGAGCGAGGGCCGCCAGGCAGCGGCGGAGGGGGTGGTGTAGCTTGCTGCGGCTGTAGCTAGAAGAGAGAGATAGGTCACCACGAGGTCAGGTCTTATATAGCGGAGGTAGGCGTGGCTTAATAGTTGACCTTCGTGATGCATGGCGGTGCTGGTTGACCTAGACCACGAGCCATACACTGGGGAATTCGCGGGGTCGGCTACTTAGCGACAAACAGCGTTTGTAGGGGAGAAATCCACTACAGTACTTCCCCCTTCCCTCCAGGCGGTGTAGGAGACTTGCAGGGTTGCATGGCACATGTGAGGCAGAACGGGCGGTGCATGCCACATGTGAGACATGAGGGCGTGGATGAGCCGGCCGCTAGTGGAGGCAACTGTCTAGACACACAAGATCTGTGGGAGAAGAGAGGGAGAAAGAGGGTTGTGGAGGTGATGAATGATGTGTTTTCCTCGCGACAGGTACAGAGTCCTCAGATGCACCTGCTGGGGTGTGTGGGCCTGGGTCAGGAGCAGGGTCTGCGTCAGCAGGAGCGGAGGAGGGTCCGTGACAGCAGCTGGGTGCAGGACAGTAGCAGGGGGTACCTGAGGGAGAAAAAAGGGGTGTGTGGGTCCGCGTCAGGAGCAGGGGCCGCATCAGGAGGAGTGGCAGGGGGTACTGCTGGGCCGGGGGCGGCGTCTGAGGCAGGACGGGTATGTTGGGGTCGGTAGGACGTGGTGCTTGGGGCAGGAAGAGGAGCGGCTGTCTGCTTAGAGTCGCAGAGCTGCTCTAGGGTGTCTAACCTGCGGTGTAGAGACAGTAGTTGTAGAGCCGATGAGAGCTGCCTCTGTGTGGATAAGCCAGTCTTCCATGTTGCTTGAAGACTGGGAGAGTGATCAGTTTCTCCTCCATCCTGTGTGAGTGCGAATCTCCGGGGGTCACCATTTGTGGGGTAATTTGTTTTTGTTCACACTCAGGATGGGATGGAGAAAGGAAACTCACAATGTGCTCCTGTATACATGTTGTATTGGATGTACAATGCAGCTTGGTGCTGGGAAGTGGCAGCGTGGTTACAAGCGTGATGTAGAGAGAGCTGTTTGGTGAGGGTGCTCAGAGGAGGACAGCTTGTGGGTCGCCATGCTCGCCGGCGGGAGCGAGGGCCGCCAGGCAGCGGCGGAGGAGGTGGTGTAGCTTGCTGTAGCTAGAAAAGGAGAGAGATAGGTCACCACGAGGTCAGGTCTTATATAGCGGAAGTAGGCGTGGCGTAATCGGTGACCTTCGTGATGTATGGCGGCGCTGGTTGACCTAGACCACGAGGCATACACTGGGGAATTCGCGGGGTCGGCTACTCAGGACAAACAGCGTTTGTAGGGGAGGAATCCACTACAATGGCACCGGGTGTCAGCTCATTTAAGACTAGACTTGACCAAAACACTGGAGCCAGTACTAGCCAACAGTGTGTAACAGAGGTGACAGGAATTCCAAAGCGGCAAACGAGCCAATCGTAGGCGAAGGGAATGAGAATAAAAGACGGCAATACGGAAAAAAAAAAAAAAAAAAAAAAATATATATATATATATATATATATATATATATATATATATATATATATATATATATATATATATATATATATATATATATATATATATATATATATATATATATATATATATATATATATATATATATAATGTATGTGTGTGTGTGTGTGTGTGTGTGTAAAGCACAACCTGCCAATATCAAGTAAGAAATATATTCAAGTGATTAATGAAAGTTAAAATATTCCCATTAACGAATTTGAATCAACTTTTACTTTCATTCAAATATTAAGTTGATAAGGGGCGAAGAGGACATGTAAAGTAAATATTTATACACAGGGTCGTTTTTCCGGGAGTAAACATTTACACTCAGAGTCCCTGTCAGCTGGGTCAGCTTTCCCTGTGTTGCGATTGGCTGAGGGCGAGGAAGCTAGTGATTGGTGGTTCAATAGCTCCCCTCAAGCCCATGTGCAGGAATCTGGACAATATTATGCTGTCCTATTCGTCTGTTAACTGACAAGTGCGTCCCTTGAGGTTATTACTGTGTTGTAGTTACCTTCAGTTGTTGTGGCATGCTCAGCGATGACGTCTCTGGCTTGTTGATGAAAACTGGTAATTGGTGGTGAGGTCCAGCTAGCTAGCAAGGTGCTCTACACCTCCCATAAAGCAAACCTTTTCCTTTGCCAGTGATTTTGAATACTCAGTTATTCAAGAATCTTATGGTCAACTGTGCCATGTTTTACTTTTATACAGAAGAAAGTATCGGCTTACCTTTGTATATTGCCGAATTATTTTAAGGAACTGAATTATTCTTACCTAACCATTTATTTTCTCATGACCAAAATAAACTGGGTAAGGTTATAGCTATAAGAAGAAAACACCACAGACAACTTGTGGGCAGGTTTCGAAATTGTATACAGTAACACGACCATACAGTCAACACCATTTTGGGGATGAGGTTAGGTTAGATTAGCATTAGGGTGGTTAATATAGATGAAGAGTAACAAATCGGTTTTTGCCATACCATGAATTTTATTACCAAAATAAAATTTTCTTAGTTTTTCATGGTGATTTGAAAGAATGTCACCTTTAATTTCATCGCTAATGCATCTTTATTGAGATAAAACCCCATTAACATTGGTAATGACAATTATGTCTTCCAAAGTGGACAGGGTGTTTGAAGATGAGGGAAAATGTGGGGTTAAAACACAAGAAAAACACCAATAGAACCTTTGAGAACCTAACCTAATTTTGTTTAACCTAGTTTAAAATAAATCGTAACGTATTTATCCGATGGACACATAAAGTGATTCTGTGAACCTGGTTTGACCTAGTTCCAATGCAACCAAATGGTTTTACTTCTGAATATTAGACACTTAGCCAACTCCAACCTACTCACTCTTAACATAACCTACCCAACCTAGCCAAACTTAACCAAACCTAACAACCCACCCTAACCTGACCTATTCCCCCCTTTCCCAGTTAACATTGGGATATTTGTTGTGTAGAGCAATAATTATTCATTCTAAATGTACAGTACTAATTGACTTAGTTCTTCAGTAGAATACAGTACATTAAATATTGATAGAAGAATGTCAGTTAATGAATGATTTATATGGGCTTTTACATCCATCATCATACATGTTCAAGCAGATGTTTGCATCAATATCTTCTGATTGTTTAAATACATCAATAGTAGATTTCCGCAATGTGAGCAATGAATCTTAGGGCGAACATTCAGTCATGTAGGAGTTCAGGATATCTCATTTGATATATCCGATTCAAGATATCTGTTGATATCTGTAAAGTACTAAAATTATTGAGTATTATCTAATTTGGGACACAGTATCAGTATCAAAAGTGAAAAGAAAAAAGAATACAGTAGTACCCCGCTTAACGCGGTCAATTGAACCCACAGGGTACCGCGTTAAGTGAAAACCGCGTTAAGTGAACAACAGAACATATGGGATTAATTCCAATAGAGACTGGCCCGACCCCCAAACTCCACTTTTTGACGACACACAACTATGTTGTAGTAAAAATTTTATCTTAACTTTATGATGGTATGCACACACAATTAATAATTAAGAGAAATATCAATAATATTAGGTTTTTTAACACTTGCATTAGTAGAAAAGATGGCTGGGCACACGGGGATGGGGGGTTGGTTCCGAGGCAGAGGGCAGATTATTGGCCCTCACCTGTATCACTTGTATCAATTGTATCACTATCCACCACAGAGGCTTGCAGGGCCTCTTTGTCAAACCCCTCAAAGGCCATATAAGTCCATATCCTCACTATAATTATCACTATCACTGACTTGGGCCGGCTGTGGTGGGTGGCAGGTGAAGAACTCGGTAATGTTTTGATGACTGGGCGACCTTGTGCGCATCGTGCCCGCGCCGCTTCCCGCGTATATGATGAAAAATTCCGCGTTAAGTGAAAGTTCAGCTCTGGCGAGGCACCGCGTATATGATAAAACGCGTTAAGTGAAACCGCGTTAGGCGGGGTAATACTGTACTGTTTAGACAAATACATTATACGTATACATAATCTCTTCAAAGTATGTTATGGAAATATTTTCTTCTCAGTTATGTATAGGCTCAGGTGGGTATGTATTCAGTTTCTTGGAATACAGTACTGTATTAAGAATATTTCATAGCCAATATTTCATTTAAATTTGTGTTATTGTGAGATGAAGTTTGTGAGAAATTGACTTTGAATTTCATAGTGTTTTACAGATTATGTTAATTACTATATTATCTTACAGACTTACTTTATTGAATTACAACTGTGGTGACTACAGTATTAGGGTGTGTCATACGGAGGCGAATTTTTTTTTTTTTTAGTTTGAAAAGTCGGCCCATGGCATTAATGATGTAGTTCTATGTGCAGAATCATGTGATATCTTCAGATTTGAAAAGTTTTCATTTTTGCTAGGTAAATTTTAACTTGAAATCTTATGAAAATTCAGTATTCCCACCCTTTTACCAACACCACTAAATAGCTTATTTAAAGTAAAGTAAATGTATCAGGTTAATTTATTAGGATGAAAATGATCCAGAATAGTGAAACGAATGATCTTGACACATTTATTAAATTTAATATTCCTTTAGAAAACAAAATCATCAAATACAAAAACCGGTTTTACTACTACGACCCGGTGTTGCTGCACACCATAGAGAACATGTCTTTCTTGCTTCTGTTTCTACTCATCACCTCCCTGCTGACCAACTGAGCTCGGATGTAGCCTTCCCTCCTCTCCTGGCTGTACACGTGACTGCTGGCCTCGCTCACTTGCTGTACACAACGCTCTATACTCTGGGTGTGCGAGGGACATGCATGGGGTTGTCCAGGAAAGCTCTGACTTGAACATTGGTGAGGCTGCAGGTAAGAGGGGGCTCACTGCCAGCCTGGATGTTATCCAGATCTATGAGATCAGTGAGGGTCTTGGCACCTAGATTGACTTCAGGAGTCTTCCTGACCCTGAAGGAATCGTCACCAACTGATTCGTCATGCCCAGATCCTCTCATAAGTCTCATATCCAAGATCTTTTTGACTACCACTCTTCTCTCCTCCTCATCCTTACTGCAGAGCATTGTCTGCAGAACTGCCTCAGGATGAGCATACCAGGAAGATCTCCTCACAGTCTGCTCCACAATCTGAACAACCTTCCTTGGCTGACTCCTCAGGAGCTCAAGCTGGAAGAGAACATGCCTCGGACCTTCGGAGAACGATGACTTGACCTTGGTGTTGAACCAATTTGGCAAGTAGACACTCACGATGAATTGGACAATAAGTCTCAGGTTGTGAAGCTGGTTCCCTTTCAGTTTATGATGAGCGACCCAAATTCTGCAGAACCTGAGAGCCGTTGTGAGCCACCTAGAATGTGAGACTGGACCTATCTGCAGGTAAGCAAGTCTATCAGGCATGACCCCAGTTTTGATGGCACTGCAAATCATGTAACCATAGTACTGGTCAGTACTCAGGTCGTCAATGACAGTATGTGCAAGCTCAACGAGTGGAGGGCCAACTGTGATTTTTTCAAAGCTCGGATTTATTTCTAACTCAGTGGCAGAGTCCAGCATCTTGCCAAGAGGACCAGACCATCTGTTGTTTGAAAGAGTCTTGCCATCCAGCTCCTGGATCAGATGTCTGAGTGGCAACTCGTTGGTGTGGAGGTCACAAACAATCCAGACCAGCTTCCTCCCAATCTTCCGCTCTATCCACTGTATGACCCCCCTTGCCACCCTGTGTTCGTGTTGGTGCTGTCCCCTCCAATGGCCTGCAGGGTCTGGTCTACGTTCCTCTCTCTGAGCCAGTTCACAATGTTATCTGCCACTATCTCAGCTGGTTTCCTGATGTCATCTTTCTCTGGAGTGAAATGCCACAAATACTTCCCTCCTGGTTCACTGCAGCAGGAGTAGTGTTCCTCCTTCACCATGGCAGGGAACAACTTGTCAGAATCTCCAACTTTCATGAACACTTTAGTGTCATCCCTTCTCCCATCAAAGAACAAACAATTGATTCCATTTTCTCTTATCCCCTTATCAAACTCCTCTTCTAGGTTACTGACAAGTTTCTCCTGAGCTCTCTTACTTTGTTATGATCTATCACCAGGTGAACATCATCAGGTGTTATCAAACCACCGTCAACCCAGGCAGCTGTTGCTATCTCTGCAGTTTCTCTGAGACCAGTGTGGTGTCGCATGCTGGCCAGAGCTATGCTCGGGATATCTTTCCTATTTCGAATCTTATGCCTGGAAGGTTTGGGATCATTATTTTCTGGGTTAGGGACAAAGTCACCATTCTCCTGGTCAGCACTCGGATCAGCCATGGGGAAGTCATTAAACTCTGAATCAGCTTGACTCCAATCATCGGCCTTTTTTACCTCACCCTGGGCCTTCTCAAGTCTCTTTTCCTCGGCAACTCTTCTCCTCTTCTGTCTCTCTGTGGCAGCCTCCTGTCTCTTGGACTCCGGAATATCTTGGCTAGAAATCATGAGAGCCCCTATACTGCCAGTCTTCTCTCTCTGTGCTTTGACAAATGCCAGTTCGATCACAGGAATCTTCAGTTCACGCTTGCAAATACAGGAGATGTGGGCCTCGGATTTACAGTCACGATCGCATCCAAACTCAGGACAGAGAACAATTGGGCACTTGCAAGTAATTATGTCAAATAACTGGTCCAGTTACTTGGCAAAGCTGTCCTTTACTGCAAGTTTTCCTCTCCCAAGAGAGATATCTCTTGCCTTTTCCCAACTGGCTAGCAGTCTCTCACTAATCTTCTTCTGACTTGTTATGACTGGAGGCTTGAACTGAGCGTTAGCCAGAGTGTACTGTGCCAAGACAACTTTGGTCATATCACTGGCAATGTCTTTGTTTGTGTAAGTTTTGGTTCTTTTCACTGATTTGCCTGATTAAAACACCGTATCTCAAAGCTTCTCTCAATGTAGGCAGCTCCGACTTCAGGAGCTCTCTCCCAGACCCAAGATAGTGACTGAGATGGCTGGATTTTTGGTTCCTCGTCCTGACA